AGGGAGGGAGGGAGGGAGTTCAACAAAGATGCTGGGGGCAGTATTGGGTCCAAGGTGTTTATGAATTGAAATAATCTTTTTATTGAAATAAGACATCAGAGAGTTGCAAAATTCTGTGGAAACCATGTGAGAAGGCAATGAGTTAGGAGATGAGACTGAACAGTTAAGGAGAGAGAACAAAGTCTTTGAATTGCCAACATTGGAACTGATGATGTCAGAGAAGTAGCTGGATTTGGCTTGAGAAATACTGTCCTTATACTGGATGACGTGGTTCGCATAGAGTTCCTTGTGAATTGAGAGACCGGATTTCTTATAGAGTCGTTCCAACCTCCGACCTTTTGATTTCAGAGAACGGAGTTCTGGAGTGAACCAGGGTGCAGAGTTGGAGAAGGAGACAGACCGGGTTTTCAGAGGAGCAACAGAGTTAAGGATGTTGGTGAGGCTGTTATTGTAGAATGTGACATGGTCATCTGGGTTAAAAGAATTGAAGGTGAAGAAGGTATTATTAATATGAGACAAAAGAATGTCATGGTTGATATTCTTAATATTACGGAAGGAAAGAGTGCGTTGAGGTTTCTCTGAAGAAAATTTATGATTGACACTGAATGAGATCATGAGGTGATCAGTAAATGGAAGTTCATCTGAAGAAAAGTTAAGAGGAGAGAGTCCAGAGCAGCATAATAAGTCCAAAGTGTGGCCCTTTATGTGGGTTGGAAAGTTAATGAGCTGCTGGAAACCACAGATGTCAAGGCAGGATGTGAAGTCTCTGGTGAGGGGGTTGTTGTCTACATCCATATGAATGTTGAAGTCTCCAAGCAGAATAATGTTGGGTGAAAGAGCTGAGAGATGGGCGATTAGAGCAGCAAAGTCATTTATAAAAGAGTTGTTGATTTTGGGCGGACGGTAGAAAGTGACAACAATGGTGGGGGTAGGGCCGGAGAGTAGACACACAGTGTGCTCAAAGGAGGGAGAGGGAGGTGTGTGAACCGGTGTGACCTTCCAGTTCTCGCGGTGAATTATCACGAGATCTCCTCCGCGGCTGGACTCGCGGGATTTGGCGATGTAAACAAACCCCGGTGGTGTAGATTCATTCAGATGGAAAAAGTCATTTTGTTGTTGCCACATTTCTGTTAGACAAATAAAATCCAACTTACGGACAGATATTAGGTCTTGAATAAGCTGACCTTTGCCAGTGAGTGAGCGAACGTTCAGAAGGCCAAACTTTACGGTGGAGGAGTTTGTAGCGACCGGAGCATTAGCCGACCGAGATAGGCTAGCTAACATGCTAATACTGTTAGCAGCCCGAGTATTGCGGCGTGTAGAATGGTGAGAGTCAGACCAGATGGAGTTTATGGGGTTGGTCTTGTCAGTGCGGAGTCTACGGCGGGAGCCACGGTGAATGTATCTCTGGCGAGGATGGAAGGCAATGTCCTGAAGAGGGAGCACAGGTGGCACGGCTGGTAGGAAACGAAGGCGAAGGAGCTCGACCGCTGAGTAATGGAGAGGACCAGACGCCGGGTGGTGGTGGATGAGCAGCTGGAGAGTCCAAACCAGAGCAGGCAGCAGGTAAATCCTAATGAACCACATGGTTGATATTGAGACGGATCGGAGACTTGGTGTAGCGGAAAAGGCAGAACGGACTGAATAAAACAGAAAAAAGCAAAAAAGCACGACGAGCAGCGGCAGCCAGGATACGCCAGCGTTCGCTCACCGGAAATATGCTGATAGTCTTACATTAAAAGACCGAAAGGCACCAAACTTGGCATGAGTAATCCCTGACAATCCTCTGTGGTCATATTCTGATGTCATCAAAGTCCCGCCCCCTCAGAACAGGAAGTCACTTTTTTACTTGGAATGCACCCTCTGATACTGAACTTCCGGGAAGATGGCGCCGCTCTGCATGGCCTGCCCTCCACCTCTGTCTGCAGTGATTGTGTTTTTTTCTGTTTTTGTCATTTTTCACCTACGACATCGACTCACTCCTGGTTTATGACTGTCATCAACTCCTAAATCTCCATCTGCCACCAGTCTCACTTTGTTTGATCATAATGATTGTAACTCTGGACCTCCCTTGGACCCCCACCTCTGCTTGAAGACGTTCCCGTTTACCTCCGCCGTGGTATCCTGCCCTCTCGAAGACATTGCTCCAGGCGCCGTGGAAAACGGGCCGGCCATCTTGAGAGGATCAAAGCCTGCCGGGCTGCTCCTGCGGCTTCCTCTTCAACCGAGGACCACATCTTAAATCACCTGTCCTGGCGCTGATCCACCTGAGTCCTTCCCAGTCCCACGGGTTAGGGTTAGGGTTAGGGTTAGAGTTGCGCTTCCACAGCAGACCTGTTCACCGTGGCTGGGCTTCCGGTCGTTGGAGTCGTGGGTCGAACTCCACAAATCTGAGACCACTGGTCTTAACTTTATGGATAGCTTCTCCTGCTGTGATTCCTACAAGGATTGCACTGATAAATGTCAGGTCTCTGGCTAATAAAATGTTCTTCTTGAATGACTTTTTCTTCTCCACCGGTCTGGACTTCTTCTGTGTGACTGAGACGTGGCTCTCCTGTGGTGAGTTCATGGCCCTGTCGGAAATTTTACCACCGGACCGTTCTTACTTTAATGCTCTGAGAATATCAGGCAAAGGTGGCGGATTATTAACTATTTTCAAAAAATCGTTGGAACTGTAAACTGGTACAGATACCAGTTAATTCTATGAGCTTCAAACTTCTGTGTTTTGAAGTGGGCCGTTCAAATCCTGTTTTTTCTGCTGCGTTATTCAGGCCACCCAAATATAATAAGGATTTCATGGCTGAACTCTGACTTTTTACTTCAACCTTACTCAGATATGATCGGGTTTTTATTCTGGGAGATTTCAACATACAGAAAGTTGCCCAGAAAAGCCGCTGACTCAGGACTTTCTAGATCTGATCCAGTCTCTGAACTTTGAACAAAACGTTGCAGGACCAACTCACCAGCATGGCCACACACTGGATTTAGTCCAACCTTTGGTTTATCTGTTTCTGAGTTAAAAATTGGGGATGCGGTTTTCTCCGACCACAAACCCATTTCTTTCAACACTTCTTTTGTCAACGAGTCCAAACCCCCTCCTCCTCAAGCAAGGCCTTGTCAAATATTTAACCCTTCCACTGTTGCACTCTTTTCCTCTGCTTTTACTAAAAATTCTCTCTGTCTCTGAATCCTCTTCCATCAACACCCATGAGATAGTCACTGTACATCAAGAGACCTGTGCTAAGGTGCTAGACCTAGTTGCCCCATTAAAAATTAGGCATCCAAAGTGCACTCCACACCCTTGGATGAATGAGATCACTCGAGCAGCCAAACGTCAATGC